GTTATCTGTGGACTCAGTGACGAAAATCTTTACTCTGTGCCACTTCATCTTTCGTAACACTCACTCCCCTTATGAATTTAAACCGTACCACTTTAACTCCGTGCCACTTAAACTCCGTTCCATTCTAACTCCGTAACAATTTAACTCCGCGCCACTTCAATTCCGTATCACTTTAACTCCGCCCCACTTTTATTTCGCATCACTTGAACCTCGCATCACTTTCTGTCTGGAACGGTCACGCAGCTCCAAGCGCGTGTAAGCCAGCAGCTCTCAAGGCCAAAGCTGGCAAGCCAATGGCAGGCGGCCCAGGATTTAGCTGACCACTCACGGTCCGCTGGGTGAGAGAATACCTGTCCTGTCTGACCGCTCGCGCAAAATGGCGACAGAAAAGCGACTGTCTGGAAGATGGAGACGCGGCCGTTACAGCTGACGAGCACGCCAGGCGCATGTGGATCCTCCAGCTCCTGCAGAACGTCCTCCGTGACCCCAATGGGTGGGTGCGGCCAGCTACGGTGAAAACCAGACTGAAGGCGTTTCGTCGCACTGCGCAAAAACTCATAGTCATGTCATCGTCTCCACGCACGCAGGTCAAGAGAAACCGAGGTGTTGTGGATGCGTTTGTGGGTTAATTTTGTAATGAAACATGCCAACTTTCATGCCAGACTGTGTTCTTGAGTTCAGCTATTGTTCGTGCATATATCATTGAGATCTGGGCTCCTGGTGATTCACAATTTAATTTGCGAGCTCATCGTACGCTAAGTCAAATTGTGGCAGTCTAAATAACATTAATTTGACGTCACACACTGAAAAACCGAAAGCGACTTATGCTTTTACAAGCTGCTTTATGTGTCTATGAATGATGATTCAAGGCTGCAGACAAGCCACGGCGCGAAACAAAACATTATTCAATTAAATCTTTGTGTCATGATAAACACGCTGATTTACTGCAGAATGCAATGGCTTCCAATTTAAGAATGCGGAGTCGCACAAGACGGATTTTATGCACCGATCACTGCTGGATACAATTAAGCCACGACATACGCACTCTCACTGAGGATGGAGCTCAGTTTAATTCAGTCATCAAGTACGGATTTAATGACGCTTAACTCCATGATCAATGATCTAAGATCTTTTTAAATCATAAATACCTTTCATGACAAGTTTACTACTCCTTGTTATTACAATAACTATTTATATTTCATGCAGGTATAGGAGGTGTACAGAGATGCATAATCCTTATTGAATAGTAATACCCAATTTAGGAAAAACACGCAGATACACGTCTTGAAAATTGCGTCCAGTTTTTTATGTGCCTGGCCTGAAACGCTATTGTATATGCGTTAACAAACAACGTTTGACCCGTACCCAAAAAATATGTCTCTGTCACACCTCAATATAAACACATTTCTCAATGTTTCATAGAGCTTAATATTTCACTTCACTTTTAAACTTTTCCGAATCATTTAGCCTCTAAACTATTATTTCAGAACTGGCGTTTCGCTGTTCGAGATGTGAGTGGATGTGAGCTGACAATAGGCTTCGCAAATGTGCGTCCACCGACCTGTTGCGGTGTCATGAACAGCGCCAGGTTCACTGATCCACATGCGCAAGTGTTGCGCGATCCAGGAATATCTCTCTTGGCCTGAATCAGTTAGATTGGTCAATTCGTTCCCAAGATACTGTTACATAAATGATCTTACAATGGAAATGCAACATCATAAACACAGTTCAGAAATAAATCCGCTATGGATTCGCATATAACGATTGTCAGGGGTCAGCAAGCTCCATAGCTCTAGGTGGGACGTTTTGCCGACAAAACGAAAAAATGCGCCGGAGCTCAATGAGCTCTGCACATGAAGACACTAGACAGGATTACGGGGATGTGGCCACTTTGATAAAAGTACGTCTTTTAGCAATTTAAACAGCTGCAGGCCGGGTTCACATGCTGCCATTTCCAAATTGTAAGATGTGGGGATCTGATAATTTCTTACCTTTCACTGATCAAAAGCAGGCACTGGTTCAATGTCGCAGCAAAAGTTGTTATCAATATATATGTATACAATATATGTAAGGCATATTTATACCGACAAACTTCAGAACATTCGAAGCTTATTAAAAGTTCCTGTGGGCCAGGAGCCAGATGCCAGCCTGCCAAAAAATAAGCAAAGTATTCATTCTAAGTTACCATCTCATGCTTGGTGGTAATGACTGCAAGAAAGACACAAACCAAGAAGTGGGAAAAGGCATTTGAGAAGCAACTTAGGACCAAGCAGCACAATAGGGCTGATGCTCACTCTTTTCCAGACCCGATATTAAAGTGACCCGATAGTCTGAATCTTGAGACCAGGATTCTGGGTCTGGATCTCAATTTTGGGTCATGGAATCCAGTACATCACATGCATGCCAGATATCACAACAAGAATAGCAATAATACCACATCACATAGCATTTCGGGTAACATCCGGGTAGGACCCCGTTTTAAATTGACTCAGCGCGGCTTGAAGTTGCTCAAAACTTCCTCATTTACGAAATATATCTAAGCCTTAAAGATCTCGTAGCTTTCCCAGATTGCTAAAGGTCTGCTGCATTCTACAAAATAAGAGTGTAATACAACGGTAATATCACAATAATGCAACTAATATAATAGTATACTGTAAATGATAAGTAATATGAATAATATTGCAATGTGAAATGGTCATCATAGATACATGAAACATCTACATAGGTGGCAACTGCAAATCACGTTTATATTTTCTTTCCAACACACGAAAAGTACAAGCCTAGGTCTCACAAACTGCTTCAAACGGATCGTTTGCTGGCTGACTTGTGGCTGGTTTGAAATGCCCTACTTGGCCAAGCGCATCATCGATTAAAACAAAACTCAAGAATAGCTCAGAATTCCAATCATTCATACCCCTGGAAACTTTTTCCTGACTGCTGAATACTGGGAAGGATATCACTCAACTGTGCCGTGTAACAGATCCAACCGCTGGGATCCGGCAGATTTGGTGCGTCATACCGAAGAAAGTACTGAAGCCCCAGATTCATTTTACCTTCGGGCACATACGTCCGTTTAAATTCGGTTGGAAAGATCTCCCAAAAATCAAGATTGACGTGCTATGTCGTCAAATGGCACGAGCTGTCAGTTCTCGGCGTTCATTACGGCATTCGCTGATCGAGTTTCTAGGCAAAATCGTTAATCCCCGAGTGGAAAGTCGCCACCATAAGTGAGGAACTCGAGCCAATTCGTTTCGTTGATCAATACTGCATCAACTACCGAAAAGCAGCATTCACTGATGCATCAGAAGATTATGCACTTCAGGCAAGAGGAAAAAAACCAGAAACGTCGCACGGACTCCCACTACAACAAATAACCCAAAAATCCCACAGGTAAACTGCGTGGTAACTGCGTGGTAACTGCATGGTAACTGCGTGGTGCATGGTAACTGCATGGTAACTGCGTGGTGATGCCAATGAATCCACTATCAGTCATCAAGCGCGATGTTGCCCACTAAATCACTATCAGCCATCAGCGCGGTGTTACCAAATGAATCCACTATCAGCCATCAAGCCGTCTCAGCGCTGCCAGGGCTCACGATAATACCACTAATGGGCCGGGAAATGGGCAAGGTGGCCGTTTGGCCGGCCACGAATGCGATGTGCTGTGGCCTAAGCCGAGGGTTACTGGGCAATGAGAACTACTCGGCGCAACATCCAGCTCACTATGAATAACATCCGAACGATATATACGTTTTTGCGTCATGTGGGATAAGGCACCGAAAACGCAAAACGAGTAAGTGTGGAACGCATGGTGCATTCTTCACGGCAAACAGACCGAGCCACAACACCCAATGCGTTATATTTTGATACAGATTCTTCCAGGTGATCATCTAGTGCCCTAGAACCAGCTGTGCGATTTTCAAGAAAGTCAGAGCACCAGATGAAGAGTTAAAACCTCGGGTAATTTTAACAAGTCAGCTAAGAATGCTATCTTTGAGCGCCTATAACTCAATTAAGAATGACTTAAATCAAACAGACATATATTCCGCTGAACTCGCAATAAGCCGGTACAACCTTCTGGACATCTCCCATATTTTGTGTACTATATCTCTAAATTTTGACATCGTTACCAAAAGTCTCATGACCTATTTTGACCTTTGAGCCTTTACAATGCTTTGTAATGGATAAATTAGAAGCAATGGCAGTTATTTAAAAAATAGAAATGAAGTACCATGGGCTTTTCTTTTAAAATGCTACACATACGGTCCAAATTAGGCACACGTGGCCGTTTTCACATCTCAAATCGAGGATATACATATATCCGCCTGTAAAACTGCCACGAAAGGCGGACGTTCCAACGCATTGATGAACCCCATTTGCTTGCGTTCTGAACGTCATCTGAGTCTATTCTGTTCTAATTTGACATCATTGTCCCCCGCTGCACGACATTTTTACTGATGCATGGGTGTGTAAAATCTGCATTTAATGGTCGCCTCACGAAAAGGGTTGCATACTTTTCATCATATAAAGTATCGGTCTGAGGGGAGGGAGGTAGGACACCCACGAATTAAGAAATAATCAACAGACCTCGAGCTTCATACCATTTATTATCATGTGTAATCTCACGTTATGCCAGAGCACTCATGCAAATTGAAGATGCCGGTGACTTAGAACATCCATGGTCAATAATGCGCCTTCTGCTTATTAGTGACGAGGTCAGTTCAACAGCGCGCTGCTCCCCATCACTCAAAGCTTTCACATCCTGTAGAAGCGGCAATCTGCTTCGCTACCCGAAGCGTTGGACTTGTGATGAACGTCGTCATGCATGAACGCTTTAGAACCGAGTGAACACGCTTCAGCCGGCGAGCACGCTGAAGGACCATAGTCCGGTATGGAGACA